AGGATTAGTGGCCCAACCCAATTTTGAAAATAGTCCTATTCCTGCAAATCGCCCTGCTCCACTGTCACTGGTTATGTGCCACTGGCGTTTGAATAGAAATTCAACCAAATGCAGGCCTACAAATTGTACTTGAGAATTTGAGGATTTTTTCTTTTTTTTCTAAATTAGTCACAATATGGGGCCTGTAGAAGGTGTGAATGGAATGGAACTGTATGTATATGTCATATCTGACGCACAAAAGAGATACTTGTCATCAAGTATATAAGGCCCCAAGAAAAACATATTGCATGTTCATTTCAATATCAACCATTCCATCTCTCCTTCATTTTCCTCACCTTCTCCTGGTTTCAAGGTTGAGGGGAATGCTGTCTGGTTCGAGACCATTCGACATAATCGGAATGATCTCGGACCAGGCTTCATTCCCCCCAACTATCGGGGTTCAATACCTATAAATGAGATTTGATCAGTCGTCAACAAATCTTAGCAGGGTAAGTTTCAAGTATCTTTAAATCTAAAGTGTATATGCTATATCTGAATTTTCCTTTCTGTTTTACACTCTATACCATTGGAATCCAACAAACAATTTTCACATCATTCTCTGGCTTTCCTTCAAGCACTGATACTGTCCACAATCCGCAATCAATTTCTCTGGCTTCTAATGATTCAGGAAATTTATTGATGATTTTGTATCTTTAAGGGAGGAAGGCAAACCCATTTGAAACCCCAAATATGCTTTTGGATTTTTGACATTATAATGTTTACATTGTTGAAAGGAGTTCAATTACATGTAATTTTCATATAAGAAGAATATTTCAAAAGGAAGAAAGATCTTTTAGAACTTGAGTGGGTCTACACTGTGGAAAATTGGAAATTCTTTGTTTTGTTACGAAATACTTTGAAAATAAAATATGGGTTTTGGTGTGAGGTGTGGACTAAAGATTGGAAAGGAAGAAAACACAAAAACACAAGGAGAGAAAGAACAAAAGTTTTGTCTTATCTTTTATGAGAATGGATTCTTCTTTTCTCAGAGATTTTGGCTTTGCTTGTGGAGAGTTGCAAAGAATATATGGGGTGGATGGGATGGGGGCTTTCACTTTATTTGTTGCATGAGAGGTAGATATTCTATCATCAAAGTTTAAAGCTTTGAATTTACTCCTTTTCCTCCATATATATACAAGACTGCCATCATAACCAGCTCCCCTGTTATTATTTGGCCATCCATTCCAATTTGTGGGTCATTTTCTTTTTCTGCATGGAAATCCTCTACTTCCATGATAGAGTGGGCCATGAATTCTTCATAGAAATAACATGTAGGTTTGAAGATGGGGCATTCGGTTAGCCCAAGAGCAGTCAAAAGAGAAGAGAGACATCTTGAGTATGTATGAATGATGAGAAAGTGATAAAGTCAATGTGGGTTTTTCTTCTAATGTCTAGACTAGAAGAGGAGAACCCTAAACACATAACTTTTGTGTACTTTTTGTGATTTGGGCATTTGAAATTTTGTAAAAGAGAATAATTTTTAATTAAAGAATTAAAAAATAAAAAGAAAGAAATGTAGGAAATCAATGAAAAGAAGAGTGTTTGTGCACTTGGGTCCACACCGGGTGCACATAGCACTTCTCTTTGTGAAAAGCATTCCAAATATTGCAAAAAAGTCCAATTTAAAAGAGTGAAAGAGGGATCCTGTAGGCCATTTCAAAAACCAAATTTTTGGTGATGCAAAAGTTGTTATATAGACCACACCCCTTTCTTTTCTTATGATGTTAAGTGCATATAATCATGACATTATTGAAGACCCAATCAATCGTAATGGTTTCTTCTAAAGCATGAGAAAATGAGAAAAACAATAGTCCAAGTTCTTAATTATTGAACATATTGAACATTAGTTGTTTGATATTTTAAATTAGATTGCAAGCATCTTAATTAGGTAATGAAATTGTTTTT